TAAATACATGTTGTATTTGTTTATGCTCGCACATATAGAGAGGCAGAAACACAACACCTACTTGCAAGTATCCTCCTATAGATTGCATATAGAAATGTATATACATAGTTTTCATGAATTTTGATGTATTTGTATATATATATTCACATATATACATGTGCACACATGTGTGATTTTTGCATCTAACAGATGAATGTATGCATTCTTCTTATATTCAAATGCAATGTTTTTTTCTTTTTTTATTGTGAACATACTGTACAGAGGGGTTACAATTACATGGGCCAGATAGTGAGTACATTTCTTATCAAGCATTGTAGCCTCCTCCTTTGTTTACCCTTCCCATCCCTTCCCATCCTCCCTCCCCCACTCCACCCAATCCTCCCCAGCCCCAAGTTGTAAAGTTCGTTTTTGACATGACAACTTGTACCTCTCATTGTTGCAACAGGTCCACCTATATCCTTATTTAAACCACTTGTTTTTCCCCTTCCCCTCCACAAATTATACTGACATCAAATACAATGAAAACATGGGTTATAGTGTGGGGGAGGGACATACAAAGCAACAAAGAAATAATCTTATAATTGCGTTAGAAACAAATGCATGAAAGAAAAAAAACATTTAAAATACATATCTTAGGCTTCATTTTCCTAACATCACCTTATCTGGCCTTTTCTGCTTGACTCATACATATACTAGATATTGCAAATAAGGGAAATCATGGGACCTATGCTTCTTTGGGCGTGGCTTACTTCACTTAATATAATTTTTCCAAGTCTTTCCATCAAATGGAATGTTATAAAGTGGAGTATTATAAAATTTGATCATGTAGCAAGCCACGCTTCAAATGTCTCTGTTCACTTCACATTGGCTAGGAGTCAGTCATATGACCACAAGAGTGCCTGGCAAATATCTTCCATCCAAATACTTGGAAATAGGGGAACCATTTTTGGGAGGTTAGAATCCTTTTTTTACTTTATTCTTCTCGGTTTCCATCTGTGAATATTTTTTTGTTTTACAAAACTAACATTCATTTTGTCACCAAAACACAAAGATGAAACTTTTATCCAATACTATATCACAAAGTCAAGGATCTTGAAGGATATATCTTTTTTTCATCAAGAACAAATATGGCCATTTCTGGTCCAATAACATAAAAATCATAAAGACACTATTTGTTGCTCTCATCTTACTCAATGCCCAATCATACAGCCTGGAAGAGCCTATTTATCTTTAAAAAGGAATCACATTCAGAAAAAGGAGGAAATGGAAACACATTGAAGTCACTGACTGACCCCAATAATGTTGTTTCATAAAATGAGAAAGAAAAACTTTACCCTGAGTGTTAGCAGATTTTAAAATCAGATCTTAAATGTTACTTGTTCTTTTTTTATTTTCTTTTTTCTGTTCCTTATCTTTCCTCTCTCCTCCCCTCTATTTCCCCCATCTCCCTCTCCTCTTCCCTCTGCTTCCCTTCCCTCCCTCCCTCCCTGTCTCTCTCTTTCTTTCTTCTTTTTTTCTTTCTTTCTTTCTCTCTTTCTGTCTGTCTCTGTTTGTCTCTCTGTCTCTCTCTCTTTCTATCATTTCACCCCACAGTGCTATGGCTTGAACACTGGGCCTGCCACTATTCCTGACCTTTTGTGCTCAAGGCTAGCACTCTGCCATTTGACCAACAGCTCCACTTCTGGCCTTTTGAGGTTAATTGGAAATAAAAATCTCATGGACATTCCTGCTCACCTGGCTTTGAATTACTATTCTCAGATCTAAGCCTCCAGAATAACTAGTATTACAGGTATGAGTCATTGGCCCCTGGCTTAAATCTCTTTTATAACCTGGAATGTTTCTTCTTATGTCTTATCCCAATGAACAAATTCAATGAGAACATTGGCAAGTGTGTAACTTCAGTGATAAGAAAGAAATACTGCTCATTATTTTTGGTTTGAAAATTCAAAAACTTCTTCAGGAGACAGAAACAGCTGGAGGATGAAATCAGGAAGATTCCTATTTTTGTCCAATTGAGGCAAAAATGTTTACCTTCATCTCAACGGAAGAAATCTTGGTGTGAATTGCATATTTGTTTTTGTACTGATGGGAAAGCATAAATTGGAGAATCTCAATCTCAGTGAAAGTAAGGCAAAAGATGAAGCCTTCTTTGCAATCACCAGCACAAAATAAAAAGGGCTGGAGGCATAGCTCAGGCATAGTGTGCCCCTAAGCAAGTTTGATGCCCTGAGTCAAAACTCTAGTATCAACACAAAAACAACACCAACCAAACAACAGCAACAAAACTGGGAACATAATACTGTATTCTTCAGTGGTAAAAATCCAGTGAAAACATAGTAAACTTCAATTTGTGTCTATTCCAGTTCCCAAAGCAAAGTTATGTTGCAAACATTGTTTTAAAATCTTTCCATGTTTATTCTCTCTGTTCCTGTCTCTCCCTTAAAGAGAGGCTAAAGGGAATTATTAAACACCTGGCCTTACAATAATCCATGTGGCTGTATTCTTTCTACTTTCTTTGATCGATAATTGAAAATTGGTCAGCTTTATTCAGTAAGACACTGTGCTAAATCAAGCATACTCAACAGTTACTTTCTGGCTCTTTGGGACTGCTTTCTATAAAGTAACAAGTTTCCTAAGCACTTGGTCTACTTTTGATATCATTATAGGAACTAATGTCTGTTTTTAAATTACCTTCTTTAGTTGTCTAAGGGATTTCATTTCAAAGTGTCCATTTATGTGTACAGAGTTCTCTCCATCGGACTTGCCTGTTCCAACAACTAAAGTTTTACCACTAAATATACATACATATAAAATCTTTTTACATCTTTGATATTATTTATGACAAAATCAGGTAACATGTGTTAGACATTTGTTATATGCAAATTATTTCTTTTCTTTTTTTATATAGATCTTTATTGCAAAGGTGATGAACACGGGGATTACAGTTATATAAGTAAGATAATGAGTACATTTCTTTTTAAACACTTTTCTCCCACTTACCCCTCCCTACTTCCCTCACCCCCCCCAAGTTGTATAGTTCATTCCAACATAGTGTCAAGTGAGTATTGTTGTTTCATTAATTCATCCTTTGTCTTTCTGTGATTCCCCTTTCCCTCCCATGGAACAGATACTTATATACAAGACAAAGTATACAGAAAACGAAAACAGAAAAATATAGAAATAACTGCTTACAGGATATAATAAGAACGTCTTGTTTCCAATTCTTGGAGTTCATGTTTCTAAGCTTCATTGTATATGGTCCTATGCACTTAGCAGTTAGGCTATTGTGATCCCTTGTTAAGAATATCACAGACATATCCAATCTATTACAAATGAGGGAAACCATGCAACTTATTTTCTTTGGGCTGGGCTTACTTTGCTTACTATGATTTTTTCCAGATCTTTCCAATTCCTTATAAATGGATTAGGTGGGGGGGGGGCGAGGGGAGGATGGGAAGGGATGGGAAGGGGAAACAAAGGAGGAGGCGACAATGCTTGATAAGAAATGTACTCATTATCTTGCCCATGTAATTGTAACCCCTCTGTACAGTATTTTCACAATAAAAAATTTGAAAAAAAAATAAATGGGGCAATGTCATCCTTTCTGATGAAAGCATAGAACCCTATTGTGTATTTCTTTTCCTTTTTTTTTTGACACTACTGAGGTTTGAATGCACAGCCTTGTGCTTGCTGCATAAGTACTCTACTACTTACACTATTCCTCCAGCCCTGTTTTAGTTCAGTTTTTATTTTTCAAAATGAATCTTGCAATTTTACTTGGAGCCAGAATGAATGTGTTTTTTCTACCTTCATTTGCCCTGAAATTGGGGCAGGTATGAATAAAGTCTTTCTACTTTCATTTTTCATGAAATTGGAATTACAGCCTGGCTTATTGTATGAGATAAAATTTCATTAACTTTTGCCTACACTTATATAGAACCCAAATCCTCCCTACCTCTCACATGGATGGGATCATGGGCATAAGCTACCATACTCAGCCCTATGTCATTTAACTTAGGTACTAATTCCTTATTGTTGCACCTGAAGCATATTTTTTTTAATTTTTATTAGATAGAAGGCCAGTTTTCTTATGACTGTTTCTCTACTAATTCAATGTCGTTTTTTTCTACAATCTGTAGGAAAAGCACAATGTATATGCTAGCCCCCACACCCCCATTTACTAACATACATATCAGATAGGCCAACAGGACATGATGTCTAAACCAAGAGAAAACTGCAAAATTGTATTTGTGGGGTGGGCACATTTTCACGTTAGATTTCTAAGTACTGGACATTAGTAATGACCTATGTGAAAGCACAGATAATATCTTGAGAACTTAGAGTAAAATGAATTTCATATCCTGCTTATGGTGTTTCATTTACTAAGTAGTGGCCTTAATGATTAAGTAGGAACAAGGTATGGTGGCACATCTATTTATTCACAGTGTATGCCAGGCTGAGGCAGAAAGACTAGGCTGAGCTACATCTTACATAAGACATTTTCTCAAAAACAAACATATGAACAAAAGTAAATAATAAATATACCATCTGTGATAACTATGCATTATATTTGATGTCATCTAGTAAGCTTTATTTATTAAAATGTACACTCTCAGTTAAATTACAGTTTGATTTAAATTTAATAGTATTTAAGGATTTACAATAAACAGTAATAACAGTAGTATTTTCTATTTGTCTATGAAAGATCTTTATAATTTTAAGTACTACTAATAAAAGACAGCAGCTTGCAAGTGAAGTAGCTAATTTTCAATTAAGTTAAAGGTACCAGGTAATTTCCTAAGGTGTAAAGTACCATGAAGAAAAAATATCTTAAAGAAAACAAACTCTTCGAGTTGATTAGTAGGACAAAGTAGAATACCATCATAGTTCTCCTTAAATAACTTTTAAAGAAAAAGAAGATACAAAATTGGAAACAAAAATTTTAAAAGGTGTTGGTTTTGTGGTCTCTGAATACATAATCTTCTTTTTTTTTTTTTAAGGCCTGTTCACAGAACAACGCATGAGCACAACATTGTGTGGAATATGTTAAAGACAGTTCCTGATTTAAGCTCTCACCTAGATGATGAACATCTGAAAAAACTTAGTAGGAAAGTCACTTCCCAAACCTGGGTCAAAGGCAGCACAGGTAACAAACAGATGAATGTAGAGTATGATGAATGTATTGGCAATTGAAATGCATGTATCTGTGTCAATTTCTCTATCAATATATTCACCATTTCACTTGATGTGTTGAAAATGTATTATGTGGATTTTCTTCATCTACAAGGTTGTAAAAGAAATGGATAGCATCGCTCACTCTATTATGTAAAGATTATGTTAAACACTTTCACCACACATTCAGATTGGCAGGGTATGCATTGACACTCTTACTGCTAGGCTCAACTCTGACAAGTCCTGGTTTAAGGAAGCCTGAGATGAGATTCAAATTAATTTCCAATAATCCAGCAGTGGTGTACTAGCATGTGAACCACATTTTGAGCAGTTTTTACTGCAATTAATATTTATTTATTTTCACATAAGGGGTAGGTTTATTCATCGTTCTGGCTGGCACCAGGTCATGTTGGCCCTCCACACAGCTGGGAAAGACCTAGGAAAGAGAGCTGGGAAAGAGAGAGAGTTGGGAAAGAGAAGAGAGCCTAGAAAGAGAAGAGAGCTGGGAAAGAGAAGAGAGAGCTGGGAAAGAGCTGGGAAAGAGCTAGAAAAGAGGGCATCTGGGCCTGGGCTAGGCCTTATCTAGGGTATGGGAGGAGAAAGGTGTGGCCACATCAAATTCAGATGTGACATCAGCGGATGCAGATGTGACCTCTTCCAGGTGTCCCAATTGCCTAAGTAATGCTGGTACTGGGTGGAGACTTTGCTGTGAGAAGGGTGCAGTCTGCTCGCCACCCAGGAGCGGACCTTACATTCTAGCCTTAATCATGAAATAGGACACAGATTCTCTCTGGCTACTTCCTGCTGACAAGAGGCATTGACATTTAGGGGTAAAAGGCTGGAATTTGGTCCCCTCCCAGAGAGGGCAGTGAGCAGCAGCTGTCCCTTGGTGGCGTGAGTCCTTAGATGAAGTCTAGAGAATGGGCTAGAAAAAAAAAATACTAGAGAGCAAATAAATGGCAAGAGGAAGGACTTGGGACTGAAAAATGTTGGTAGAAATGTCCCTAGCTACTTCTGACATCTGGTAACTAGGTAGAGAAGTCAGGTAACAAAGGCAAGTATATAAATTCCTGTCCAGTTAATAGGTAGACAGGTATGGACACTAGATGGGCAGGCTTCTTACTTCTATTGACCTCCTGGCTCTGGTTAATTTTGAAAGGGCAGGCACAAAGTAGCTGATGTGACATCATCTCCTCTTACTCCTCTTCATGTTCCCTTGTTCCCCAGACTGGCTGAGTCTAGGTGCTCGTTGCTGGGATGGCTTGTCCCAGTTGGTATTCAAGAAGGTTTGAACTCAAGGCCTGGGCACTGTCCCTGAACACTTCTGCTCAAGGCTAGCACTGAACCACTTTGAGTTATAGTACCACTTGCAGTGTTTGCTGGTTAATGAGAGATAAGAGTCTTGAGCCATGCTTCCAGCCTGGCTCTTTGCAGGTTAGTTGGGAGATGGAGTCTTAGGAACTTTTCAGCCCAGAGTGGCTTTGAACTGCAATCTTTGCCACAAAAAAATCCCTTTATTATTTCCAACAAGGAGATCAAATAGAATAGAGCTTACCTGGTCCTTATCAAGAATTACCAAGAAATATTCTGCAATGACAAAACTCATTAGATGTGAGAATCTTAACACAGATATGCCCAATGTTTATAATGGGAGCAATATTGGAGCAACCTGCATGGCCTTCAGTCCATTCTATGGAATTCTAGGCAGTGATGGGATAGAATATCTTTCTCTCTGTCTCTTTCTTTGTCTGTCTGTCTGTCTGTCTCTCCTTCACTTTCTCTGGCAGAACTGGCGTTTCAATGGATCTATATGTACCATGAACAAACCCTAAAGACAACAAATTAAAATAGAACAACTGTAGAATTATATAAATATAAAAATCTAAAAGTATGTATACATTAAATATGTACATTATAAATATATATACTATTCATATGCAATATATAAGTTATCTAAGAGTGGATCCAGAAAGACATTACAAGACTACACATTTTAAATTGTTGCCTTATAGAGGAGAGAAGACTTGAGGATGCTATAATTTGAATGTCCCTCAAGGATATAATGTGATTAAAGGTTTAGTCCCTAGGGAGGTGGTGGAACTCGGGGAAGTGGATAACTTTGGGAGGTCCTTAGGTCATTGGGGCATAGGGTAGTTCTCAGGCCACTTCAGGATCATTACCAAAGGAGAAACCTGGCCTCTCCCATCTTTCTCCCTACTTATATTTGGACATCATTTCCACTCTCATCTATGTCACACTGTTCCCCCATGATGTGCCATCACAATGTGCCTTCCTAGAGGCCAATAATATGGGGATGTCCAGCCTTGAGACATCAAGTCTACACATTGTGTTTTACATATATATATATGTATATATATATATATATATATATATATACACACACACATATTCTCTTAAAAGGTAAAAGTTTCAGGTATTTTGTTGTAGTAATGAAAGCTGACATGAGGGCAATACTCACCCCTTCTACAAATCCTTTTGGTTTAATTTTCCACAACAACTGTAGATTCATGTATTAGTATTTGTAATTACCCATTTGGCTTTTTTTCCTAAGGAAGTTCTAAAATTCCAATTGGCCGCAACAGTCTTTTCTGATAACATTTTACTAATCCATTTACTATTGAAACATGAAATTTCAATAACAAAATTTATGAACCTTAACTTGATTATATCAAGTAGAATATTTCAACTTGCATTTCAACACCTTTAGAAATTACCAAGTGTGCATTTACTCCTCTATATTGCACAATCTTTCTCTTGAGTTTTTAAGATATGTAGTTCTGACAGCACAGATCAGTTTCACTATCAAAGCTGTCAACTCATTAAATACCTGAGCTCTTTGTTCATTCAACTTACTGAACAAGCCAAATTAGGTATCTGTCTCACTCCTTTCTCCTTTATTCATGTATGCCATTTCCCTCCCTCTGGTATTATTTAAATTATCCCCCCAGTAGCCCCTCATCACCAGGCTGCTGCCTTCAATCTGCTTCAGGGGCGATCCTTTCTCTGGTGCAATCCCACACAGCTGTTCTTACTTTCTGGTCTCCTGTCTGACTACTAGGTCTTTAGAAATGCTTTATTAATAAGAGGAAAGTTTCTCAAACTTACCATTTTCCCCTCAGCCTCCTACCCATTGATTTTGCAATAAAAATCTGAAGAAACAATATCATGATTTTTATAGTCAATCAAATATATACATAGCACCTGTTTAAGTAATTATGGTACTAGAACATATTATTATATAAGATTGTTATCTATAAAAATACTTATATAACTATATTAAAATGACAAACTAGTATTCATTGCACACAGGCATCTTCTGTATATGTTATATTAGCTATAGATACATTCATTGCTAAGAACAAATGGTTTCATTGAATCTCTTATTTCATGGCCAGGGTGATGATACAGGACATTATTATAAGGTTCATAACCTCTTGAAAACTAAAAAAGTTAACTTTCTTGAGGCTTCACTGGATTCCACATCCAAATTTCATCTTTTACGTTCATGCTATAGTGGAAGCCCATTCTTATAAGCTTTTCTCTTTCCTGTCTACGCTAACATTACTGTTTCTTCAAAACCGATTATTCGTTATAGTATTATTTCTGTTCTGTTTTTATTTTTATTTTATTTTTTTGGTCAATCGTGGGGCTTGAACTCTGGGCTTGGGTGCCATCCCTCAGTTCTTCAGCCCAAGGCAAGTGCTTGAGCCACAGTGCCACTTCCAGTTTTCTGAGTGGTTTATTGGAGATAAGTCTCACGGAATTTCCTGCCTGGGCTGGCTTTGAATGGCAATCCTCAGATCTCAGCCTCCTGAGTAGCCAGGATTACTGGTGTGAGCCACTGATGCCCAGCTCTGTTTTTAAATTTTAACCTCCCTTATTCTTCTTTTGTGATGCTATATCTCAGAACCCTATGATTTCTTATTTGAATAAAATGTTATATCTAATTTTAATGCTGAAAATTTTTTATATATTTCAGCATCACCTTTAACTTTTCTATGTATTAATCAAGTCATATTTTAAATGTCATCTTCTTAAAGTAGAAATAGCAGAACTTTTAATTGTACTATACAAATCTCCAGGGAATATTCAACATCTAGTAAAGATTATTAGTGAACAATGTGATTCTTTTTTTTTAATTGTGAAAATACTGTACAGAGGGGTTACAAATACATGGGCAAGATAATGAGTACATTTCTTATCAAGCATTGTAGCCTCCTCCTTTGTTTCCCCTTCCCATCCCTTCCATCCTCCCCCCGCCCCCCTCATCCAATTCTCCCCGCCCCCCCACCAAAGTTGTAAAGTTGGTTTTCTACATAATGACTTGTACATCTCATTGTTGCAATGGGTCCACCTGTATCCCTATTTAAACAATTTGTTTTTTCCCTTCCCCTCCACAAATTATACCGACATCAAATACAGTGAAAGTAGGGGTTATACTGTGGGGGAGGGACATACAAAGCAACAAAGAAATAATCTTATAAATGTGTTAGAAACAACAAGACCACACTAAAGCTACCAGCACGACTATGTTTATTGCAGCATTATTTACCATAGCTAAGATGTGGAACCAACTCAGATGCCCCTCAGTAGATGAGTGGATCAAGAAAATGTGATATATATACACAATGGAATTCTATGTCTCCATCAGAAAGAATGACATTGCCCCATTTGTTAGGAAATGGAAAGACTTGGAAAATCTTATATTAAGTGATGTAAGCCAGGCCCAAAGAAACATACGTTCCATGGTTTCCCTTATTTGCAATAACTAGTGTATGTCTGAGACAAGCAGAAAAGGTCAGATAAGTTGATGTAAGGGAATAGAACAATGTGATTCTTTGTGTGTATATGTGTGTGTGTGTGTGTGTGTGTGTGTGTGTGTGTTACTAAGGTTGAATTCAGCGCCTTATACTTGCTTTACAATTTGAGCCATGGTTCCAACACATTTGCTTC